AACAATTATGAATGGGTGTCATGGCAAAAGGAAATGGTAAAAGGAGATATGGGAGTATAACTCCCATTCTTGTGGTTGTACACGATATGGAGTTACATTGGTCGCTTTTTAAGTTCTTTATCAGGCATTCATCCATATTGATTTCTTTGGGTTCTTTTGCTAGAGAGGTTCTTTTTTTAAAAAAATCTTTATTTATTTTTTTATTTTTATGTGGTGCCGAGTATCAAACTCAGGGCCTTGCACGTGCTAGGCGAGAGCTCTACTGCTGAGCTACAGTCCCAGGCCAAGAGAGTTAGGTTCTTTAGAGGCATCATGTTACCTTGCTTTTTTCATATTTTTATGTTCCTATATTGAGATTTTGATGGAATGGGTATTTATACCACTCTTATGGGACAGCCTTCTTAAGTGGCTGTCTCCAACAAGGTGTCTTTTATTGTGTGTGTGATGTGTCTTAAGGTATTGGTTTGTCATGCAATGTGGGCTTTGATTCTACCATAGTGTAGTCTCTCTATTGTTTCTTTGACTGTGATTAGTGACTTTGGGCACAGAACTAACTGTGGAAGAGTTGGAGAGACACACTGACTCTCTGGGCCATGAAGGAGTGGGGACACTAGTGGCTCAGTCAGGTGTGGTGCACAGAGCAGCAGATGTGGAATACCTACTCTGTGGCCCTTCCCACAGTGGGAAGAGTGGTGGCTTATAGCAAGGGATGGGAGTTTCTCCAGGCCCTATTGATGCCAGTTCTGTTGCTAGCAAGGGCCTCTGGCACTGGCAGTTCCAGCAATGGTGAAGGGACTGACACACTTATTTTTGGACCAGTCACTGTTATGGATCCAGAAGGTGGAGAAGGTCCCCTCTGTGGCACTCATACCAGTCCTGACAGTAGTGCATAGTCAGGTAAAGTACAGAGGTAGGGCGGCAGTGGGGGCTACATAGGTGTAGTGGCAGCAGAAACTACAGTGTTCCCTTTTTGCTGGTGACAGTGCATGTCCAGGGGAGGAACTGTGGCCAGTCAACTTTCCTCATGGTTCTCTTTGGCCATGTGTACCTGCTGGCAGGGTGATGACACTTTTCTCCCCTGGATTCCTTTTGCTGTAGTAGATGCCTGGGGGCAGTGTGACTGTCAGAGCCACAGAGTTGTTTATGGTCCCCTTAGGACAACCCAGTGGGCAGGGCAGCAGTGAAAACCACAGGATTCCCTCCCTGCTTTGTTAGTAAAAGTTATCTGAGCATGGCACAGGATGGGTAGTGGGAATCACATGGGCTCCTTCCTTCAGTCTTGGCACAGGACTAGCCCTGACCTTAACTTCAGAGGTCAAATATCCTAATCTGCTGCTGCTTCTGTTCCCCTCAATATCAACAATATCTGCCCCCTGCATTGCAGGGCATCCAGAGGACTTAGGTTACAGTCACTCTGCTGGGTCAAATTGGGTTTGCAAGGCAGCTACCTGCCTTTCCCTGGCCCCTGCCAGCTAGTGCAGCAAAATGTCTGTGGGGTCCCAGAGATAGGAATATGCAGGGGTTTCTTAACTCTAGAGCAGTCCAAACTCACACAATTACTCACTTCTTAAGATGACTCCTAACTACAGCATCCTGGAGGTATACTGACAGGTGATGTGAGATCTGTTTCACGAGACTACTGAACAGATTTCAGGTTTCTTATCTTAGTGGGGATTGTGAGCCTGTGAGGATTGTGAAACTTTCCAGTAGCTTGCATTGCCAGCATCAATACTAATAGAGTTTTCTGGGGCTCTCTCTTTTACCCTGATCCTTGCAGAGGGAAACCCTCCCCCACTCCCACCCCAGTTGTGGATCCATAGTGGCAGATGACAGGTTATCTCATTTGTCTTCCTATGCTGTCATTCCAAGTCTTTGACTCTTAGAAGGTTCCGGTTTCTCTTTTGCTGATTTCCATTGTTCTTCCACAATCACCTAAAAATGCAGCTATACACTTATTGGTTGGTTCTTTTTTTGTGAAGGAGGAGATGAGTGCTGGGCATCTCTATTTAGTCAGATATTTTATTTTTAATGTGTAACATTCTTAGATTATACTACTTTCATAAAAGTGCTATAAATACCATATTATTAAGAAAAAGACCATTGTCAAGCTTGCATAACAAAAATAGCACAATATAAGTTTGGGTAAATATGCTCTCACTTGGGCATCTAAATTTAGTGTCTGAGTCACAGTGAGTTTTACAGATGGAATTCTGCTTATTCATTGATAATGTTAGTCAGACACTAAGTTAAATAACTACAGATTCAAATTTGCAATCCTTATGACTCAAAGATCCGTGTAACTACTGTCTGCCGTATAGAATACAGGATTTAAAAAATATTGTCATACGTAGTTGGAGAAGCAGGCTGAGTGTCAAGGCCATATGCCACCTACAGAGGCCAGAAATATCGGAATAGGTCATACACTGAGGTATTTTCTTGGTGAGGAAGTCAGTGTTAACCAAGACCATGTGATATACAAGATAAAGTTAGTTACCTCTTCTGATGACGCTGGCTCTAGGAGAGACTCACGCTTCCTTTCGATGAGTTTTGAGAGAAGATTCCTTTCTCTTTCAGAAATGGGCTGCTCTTCCAGCAGAATAGCATGTACACTTTGGTTGAATTTAGTGTCCCAGGAAACTGCTGACATTTGCAGTGTAGTAGAGAATGCTTCCCTGAAATAGGCCTTCAGTCCCTGGTCAAAGAAGAAAAAGGATAGATTGGTATAACTTTAAGACAGTTGCTATTAAAACTTTAAAATAATAGTTGAAAGGAAACAGAGGTTCGTATCCTACCACCCTCACTTGCCCTCTAACCATTTTGGTGAGGTTTATGCATTGACAATTAAATATTGGCAGAAAGCTGAGATGCTGTTCTCCATAGGAAGACCACCTCTCTCAAGAAGTGGTACCTACATTGTCATATGCATGCACCATGACAGAGTGGTGGATATGTTTTTTTGTGTGTGTGTGCGTTGCTACGGGAAATTTGATTAGGAAAATCCTTTTCCTGGCCTGGAAGTAGAAAACAAAAACCACCAATGGGACTCAAATAGAATCAAAATGTTGCAAAACTTAAAGCATTTATTATGGGGTCCGAGTCATAAAGAGGAGAAAAAAAGCCCTGTGTATGTTTTTTTTTTATATTTAGTTTTTAGTTTTTTAGTGGACACAATATATTTATTTTACCTTATGTGGTGCTGAGGATTGAACCCAGTGCCTCGTGAATGCTAGACGAGCGCTCTACCACTGAGCCATAACCCCAGCCCCACCTGTGTATCTTTTTAATACCTCATAAAATGATCTCAAAAAGGTGGGGTTGGAGTCCTGATGGAAATCCCCAGCAATGATGTGGGCCAGGCAGTGGATCAACAGCAGAACAAAGCTTCCCACAGATGTCAAACACTCTCTCCCAACAAACAGTGTGTTTTCAGCACTCTGAATGGAGAAGATACCCAGACACAAAGATGTCAACCTCAAGGAACATTTCTACTGCCTCTTCCTTTTTCTAAGTTTATGTCGTCTAAAATAAGACTCCCTAGGCTTAATGGAAATGTACTGAAGGGAAGATTCAGAGGCAGGAAAAAGTATTGTTTAGTTTTATTGTATGAGTAAGTCATTTTGTTCTATTGTCTCCCAGTTTTTCCTGCTACCCCCAACTTAACAGAAAACAATTCAGACATTCAGAGCAAAGTTACTTATGTATCTATGTTATTATTAATGTTCTCCAATCACTATTTCCTTAAGAGGTTACTTTTAAACTTTAGTGTGAATAAGAATCACAAGGGGGTGATTTTATTGTTGGAGCCCATCTCAGAATTTCTGGTTCTGTGGGCTTTGGGCAGGGGCCCAGGCATTTTCATTTTTACCAAACTCCCAGGTAAGAGATCCTGCAGGGGTCCATGGACCAGATTTTGAGAATCACTGCTTTAGATGGTTGTCAGGCTTTTTTTTGTCTTTCACACTTTTGTTGTAATCAAGTTTTCAAATCACCCATCTTGCAACTGATTTGAAATAACTTCCTCATTCATTCTCTTAGGAGGCACTAGATTGGCATGAGAAAGCCCTGGAACTAGCCTGAAATCTGTCCCTTGGATTAGCTATAGGGTAGAAGAATGAGTCTGGTGTCAAATATACTTGGTCCCAAGTCTCAATTCTTACTAATTCTGTGATCTTATGCCATTTACTCTCTCTGGCCCCAGTTTATCAAGAAGTGGTGTTTACATTGTCATATGCATGCACCATGACAGAGTTATGGATAAGGAGATAATAAGACTATCTACTGCAGAGGGTTGTAAGAAGTTATAAATGAAATAATATGCATGTGAGGTACATGGTCAAGAGCATGACTGGCACACATCATTCAGTGATTCCTGAGTTTGCGTTGCCATTAGTAGAATGAGATTCAATTTTCTGTCCTTCATAAAGTTGCTCTGAGGGTCAAGTGAAATAATGCCTGGAGCGTACCTTGTATGAGCATTTTTTTTTGTTTTATTAAATTCCCCCAATGATCTACTAGGCAAATGTAAACCATTTTCTAGTCCTTTAACATCGATTAGCAGTTTCTCCTCAGAATCATTTACCAATGGACTGTTGTCAGTTTTTAAAGTCCATATACACCAGCTTAGAATTATCTGCAAGGCACTTCTAATCTACATATCTGAGGAACCACTAGGAAAGGAACAATTTAGATTTTTTTCTATAGAAAGATGCTGATTGCATAAGATTTCCTGAAACTAGAATCACAAGTCTTATGGGAAATACCACTGTGGAACCACCAGCTTTGAGAGTGACAGAGATCTATTAATGGCACAAGGCCATTATGCTTCCCTGGACACAAGCCAGGACATATTCACTTCACTGATTAGAGAAAGCTCTTACATGGTGACATTTATTATGCCTTAGCTAAATGACTTATTTCCAAGGGGAATAAAGTATGTCAGGATTTGAGAGAGAAAAATGTTTTTATTTCTTTTGCTTCTGCTTATCTTTAATAGACCCAAGAATTCAATATCCCTGGTCTGGGAATGAATGTGCAGTACCTGGTAGAAGAAGGAACCCTGGAACGCGTTATCTGAGGTTTCTGTGGAGGGAAGATGAGAAGCAATCTGCAGAGTGATTTCTGGAGCCTGAAGAGAATGACAAACAAAAACAAAACTCATGCTTTTACTAAAAAATTCTTATGCAGCTTAGCTTCATAGCATCAACCAAATTAATGAGAAGTAAATTCACTGCAATACCCACTTAAATTGTAACAGAGTAAGTAGATTCAGTATACAGTATGGGAAAATGGAGAGTATTTAACTATGTTTTTACTATTTATGCCAACTGACCATTTACTATTTTTCAAAATTAACTTACTACTTCTCATTAAAGGCTGGCAGTCAGGCATGAGCGTCTACAAGCCATATGTCCTGGATTCTAACCCTGGCTCTACTTTGCTAGCTGTGATCATGGGTAAGTTTACTTAATCACTCCGTATCTTTTTCCCTCAAATTTAAAATATGAAAAATAATAGTATTGGTGTGATTGGGTTTTGTGAAGATTAAGAGAACTAATTTACACAGATTATTACAATGTTTTCTGGTAGCTAGAAAGTGCTTAATTCATTCTACCTATGATTAACATCGTCCAAAATGTTCTACTTTAGATTGGTACTGTATTGTCCATCAGTCCCTTCAAGAGAAGTAGAAAGTTCACTGCTCCAGGCTTCATCCTGACAATGAATGCTATTCATTGTCACATAGCTCCTTCCTGGCCACGCTGACCTTCTCAGCTCTCCAGTGACTGCTCCACAAAGAGGTCAGACTTCTGACTTACATGAAGCTGGGGGACGAGGAGGTCCAGGATGGAGAGGCCATACTGGTAAACCACAAACTCCCTGGCAGAAAGGTCTGTGGATGGCACAGTTGTCAGCTCTTCTTTCTGCACTGTCTGGGTTTTTCGGAGATCCTGCAAAGAGCTTTTTGGGTCTATGGAAATCAAGAGAAGACAGTGATGATTTCACTGATTTATTTTTATTTTTTTGGTATAGTAATGATAGATTACCAACAACTACAACAACACAACTCTGCAAAGGAAAAGGTTTATTTACAACCAGCTAATCCATCCATCCATCCATCCATCCATCCATCTTCCCATGCTATATGTGCACTGTGCCTCAAGATCTTCATGGAAAAGCGATTTATTTATTTTTTCCCCGTGATATATTTTTAAAAATATTTAATTGATTTTATTTTTTAAATACATGACAGTGGAATGCATTATAATTCTTACTACACATATAGAGCACAATTTTTCATATCTCTGTATATAAAGTATGTTCACACCAATTCATGTCTTCATACATGTACTTTGGATAATGATATCCATCACATTCCACCATCATTGCTAACCCCCTGCCTCCTCCCTTCCCCTCCCACCCCTCTGCCCTATCTGGAGTTCGTCTATTCCTCCCATGCTCCCCCTTCCTACCCCATTATGGGTCAGTCACCTGATATCAGCGAAAACATTCAGCATTTATTTTTTGGGGATTGGCTAATTTCACTTAGCATTATTTTTTCCAACACCATCCATTTACCTGCAAATGCCATGATTTAATCCCCTTTATTGCAGAGTAATATTCCATTGTGTATATATGCCACATTTTTTTTATCCATTCATCTAATGAAGGGCATCTAGGTTGGTTCCACAGTTTAGCTATTGTGAATTATGTTGCTATAAACATTGATGTGGCTGTGTCCCTGTAGTATGCTGTTTTTAAGTCCTTTGGGTATAGATGGAGGAGTGGGATAGCTGGATCAAATGGTGGTTCCATTCCCAGTGGAAAAGTGATTTAGAACAGAGGAGCCAAAAGGAGGGCCCAGAGAAGACGGCAGCAGGTTTTCCTCTGCTATTTCATAAAGTTGTTTGGATAATTAGATGTACCGCACTCAGAACAGTATCTGGCACACAGTAAGCACTTAGTAAATGTTGGCTGCATTAAAAATCTTCCTTCTTACAAATTGTCTCTAATGGCCTTTAGACAATTTAAATGGGCATTTAGACATTTCTATTGTGTTTTTCTTGAGAGGACAATGAAAAATGGTTTGGGTAGCGAAGTATAGGAAAGAGTGTGGAACTAGTAGTCAGAAGACCTGTGTTCTGGCTCAGGTTCTGTAAGACCCTGAGGAAGTTGCTTAACTTCATTGGTTCTCTTTTATAAATAAAATAAAGAGCAATAGTTCACTATCTTATAGAATTAGAGCTAGGTTTCCCAGGTGTAAATAAGTCAATGTACATAAAATTGCTTTCAGGATGATATAATAAATAGAATGGTCAGTGGGTTGAAGTGGAGATGGGAACTGTTAGAAAAACCCTCATCTCTTTGCCTGTCTTCTTCTTGGTTTCCATCAAAGGGAGGAAGAATTAATCATAAGGTTGGTCAAGTTCCAGAGTTAGTAATCTTTTTCTGTAAAGGGCCAGATAGTAAGTATTTTAGGCTTTTTTCATCCAAAAGCTAAAATTAGGGTTCAATTGAGTGATTCCTATCTTTATGGTAGAAGTAGGGCCTACTTTCTGGGCTTCTCTGATACACAGTGATCTGCTATCTTAGGAACTCACAAAAATGTGTTGCCTCCTCTCTTTTTTGGCATATCCCTTGTAATTGGGTAGTTTTCATACAGGGAAGCAGGTTAGAAGTGCAATTCTGGGGAAAGAACCCCTGGGGTTGAATTCCCACTGAACTACATATTGGCACAAAGATCTTTGACTGCTTACTTGACCTATCCGGAAGCTTCAGTTTCCTCATCTACGAAATGATCATAGTATCAACCTCAATGGGTTGTTGTAAAAATCAAATGAGTTGATATATGTAAAGATTTAGAACAGTACATAACACATTGTAAAACACCACATTGTAAAAAATGTTATTCTTCCTTTCCAGTTACCCCTAATTGTTTAAAAATGGAAAGCCATTCTTAGCTTATGTACTATAGAAACACAGGTAGCAGGCTGGAGTTGGCCTGTGGGCCATAGTTTACTGATACCTGCTCAAGTTCAGGGGTGTTTGTGAAACTGTGGCCTGCATCATGCATGGTCTATGGAAAGGCACACACTTATTTTCTGTTATTTCTACTTGGGAGGTGGGTGAGTGGAAGCAGACCTGGCTCTTCAGTGCTGGCCAGCCAGATTCTCTTGACTTCTAATTCCAAGGGGTGGTATTGATAAAGTGATCTCTATGGGTCAAGGTCTTCTCTGTCTCCCCTGTTTTTCTTCCTACGTCTCATATTTTTTCCACTAACTCCTTTTAACATGTTGCTGGCTGGTATAGGACAAAAATCCTAAGATTTAGATAAGTGTTTGGTGGGGAGATAGAGGGCCTTTAGGAATTCCCTTTTGGGAATTGGCCAAGTATAATTACAGCGGTACTTTGATTCCTAATTGTTATTTATTAAAAAGAAAAATTCCTTGGCAATCTTAGGGTGGGGGCAGAGAGAAAGGGATGATTGACAAGACTGGATTCTGGCATTCTTAGTTCCTGGGGTCACACCTTCACACACCTTCAGTGCCCCATGATAATTCCTAGGGACCATCAGGGAGAAGGAGGTTACCTGGTTTGTGATGCACTTGTGGTTTAACTCCTTCCTTGTGGGCTTGGGACCATATGTCTATTTTCTTTAGGATGGAGAACAATGGTGAGGTCTGGATGGTGTCAACTTTATCTGCATCTGAACAGAGGAGTATATAATAGTGGAGTAAGGATATAGGAGTATGGCCAGAGCCAAAAAGAGCAAGATGTGGCCTCAGGTGTGACAGGAATCCTTTCAGATGGCTCTTCTAATCCCCTACAACATGTCAGTATCCTTGTGTAATCTCCTCCCCTTGAGTAAGGATTGGATTTGGCAATACATCTCAAGTGAATACAACATAGCAAAAGTGATGAGATGTCACTTCTGAGATTAAGACGCACAAAAAAAATCTGGCACGCATGTCTCTCCCCTCCCTCCCTGCCCCGCCACCGTCCCCTTTCTTTTGCTTGCTTTCTGTGAGGGAAGCCAGCTATCAGGTTGAAAGTTGCCCTATAAAGTCCATGTGACAAGGTACTGATGTTGTTAGCCAACAGCCAGCAAGGACTTGAGGTCTGCCAACAGCCATGGGTGGGCTTGGAAGTGAATTCTCTTCTTAGTCAAAGTTTGAAATGACTGTAGCCTGTGTGAGACCCTGAATCAGAGGTACCCAGGTAAGTTACACCCAGGTTCTTGACCCACAGAAATTATGAAATAATGTTTATTATTATAAGCCATTAAATCTTGAGGCCATTTGTTACATAGCCACAGATAATCAACACATTGGGTTTCTCTGTCCTTCCTAAAGAACCTCCTGTGGCCTGCTCCTATGGTGCTTGAGACCTAATTGTAGTATTAGATCTTATCCAAACATGACCAGGATTGGCAGAAAAAGGGAATGTTGGATGAGTAACCAGCCTTACCTGCTCCTGGTTTCTGATCCTCAAGGTCAAGGCCTTGATCTCCCACTAGCACTGTAGTGAGGCTCTTCAGAAATGGGATCAACAGTGGGCAGGTAGCAGCATGATCCCTGGTATAAGTAGTGACTCTTCCATAGAATCTGTCTCCAGGGTAATTCTCCAAACATATAGGGGATCCTGAGGCAATAATCTAGGATGAAATAGACAGAACTGAAGTCCATAATTGGTTCCCCTGTCCCACATGGCTACTTTGGGAGTTCTTCTCTAAAGCCCCCATGAAAAATGGAAATACAGATCTCATTGGTCAATTTCAGAGGTCTTACCTGGCTGTGCAAGAACTGTAGGCGGCTCAGCTCCCGTTGGTACTGCAGTTGACCCAGGGCCTTATCCAAGAAGTTCTGTTTCTCCCTCACTCTCTCTTGAAACTCATCAGAGAGATGCTGTAATACCTGAAACACAGGAAACATAATGCCCGAATTAAAGTGGACCTTCTCTTTCTTTCCTCCTGCTCCCTCTTAGCCTATTCCTTGGGCTTGCTTTCCTCTGAATATTGTATGGGCCTGAAGAACCGCATGATGATATAGGAGGATGTGCTCATTCCTCAGTGTCCCCGTGTCAGCCTTGAGGCTTACCTTCCTGGGACGGTTCCAGACCTGTGGGCTCTGATTCCTCCCCTGCTGCAGCCATACCTCC